AGCGGTCACATCCATGGCTTCCATAGCCTTTCCAAGCCGAGCCAGCACAATACAGAATTCAGAGGCAGCACCTGCAGAACCTCCTGGAGCCTGGCCTCCCATGGCCACACCAGAGGCAGCCTCACAGGCTCTGAGGCAGATAATGAGGGTGTGTACCCCTTCAAGGCACCCAGAAGCACCCTGTGCCAGGAGTTTGGGGGCCACCTGGTGAACAATAGTGGTGTTCCGGCCATCCCACTCTCAGCGCACCAGATCCCTAGGACAGTCATGTTAGACAAGAACCTCTGTGCCACGGCCATGGCCACTCCTGGGCCCATTGGCTCCCATCCCCTGCCCGAGGCAAGTCAGGCAGAAGCATGTCAGTGGGGCAGCCCTCAGCAGAGACCTTCAGTCAGTGAAAGCAGCAGGTGGTCCATTGACGCTGCCATCCCCAGGCGGAATACCCTTCCTGCAATAGACAACAGCCGATGTTGCCAAGGTCAGTATAAGCCCTCACTGAGATTTGGAGAGGGGAGGTGGCACCGGATTCTCAGTGGTTAGCTAGTCCTTGGTCTCCCATGGTCAAGGGAGACTTGGGAGCCACTCAGGTCACTGATAGTCAAGTTCATCTCCTGTGTGGACCTTGACCACTGGGTCCCCCAGCACTGGAGGCTGTTAGTAGACACCCACAGTGGCAAGACTGTGGCAGACTCGGCCTCCACTAAGGGAGACAGAACATTCTTCGTTGCAGTACAGCACATTATGGGTTTGGAATTCTAAATAATCGCGTATGCATGTGTAAATCAAAGCAAAGACTTAAAATAGAAATTGAGGAGATCAGTCCAAACTAGAGCCAAACCAGTGTGGACTCACCGTTGAAACAAAACGAGATCTTCAAAATATTTTCCAACCTATACTTAGATCTCTTTGTTTGAAGTCTAAACTTGTATTTGAAATACCTAGATTTTTTTGTCATTTGTTTTCCACTGAGAGTATTTTATATCTGCATATAACCTCCTCTCCTCAATGAAAAAAAATAGATCAATAGTAACTCCTTTCCTTTTGCATCCATTCTTATATCTTGCAAAGCCTTTGTTTGTTCTTCCTGTTATGAGAGAGTTTGGTGGGGCAAAGCCTTGTTTTCTCTGTTTTATATGAGGCCCGTGGTACTTAGGCTTATTCAGGGTTGCAAGTCAGAAGTGGCAAAGATGAGCCTCACCCTGAGGTCCTGGATCCTGGGTTAGAACTCTTTGCAGTCTTTTCAGTGTGTCAGCAATTTGAGCAAGGCCCTTGTGTTGTGATATTGAAATGATAGAGACATACATAAAACAGGTTTGCTGTTCAGAGCTCATATTTATGTACACAATGAAATGAAACCGACATGCAGAAGTCAGTACAAGCCTCTTTACTGTTCCTGGAGGTGGCAGGTGGGTGAAGGGTATGGGTGGTGGGTGCTGTAGGAGTTGAAGGAGAAGTGTATCCTGTGGGTAGATGTCTAGGAAAGACATTCTGTGGGTAACACTGGAGCTGGACCTGGAAACCCAGGAGGAGTTGTGGTAGGGAGCAAGGATGTGTTAGAGGTAACACCTTGTCATTTGGAGTTGAGAGTCGTGTCCTCTGGAGCATCAGTGAGACCCTGAGCAGCACTGGGGAGGGTGTGGGAGGCATCAACACATAGATCAACTGTGACACATGTGGATCTCCTTCCTCTGTCATAGCTTCCTCCTGCAAGTACCCCCGGCATGGTGGAGGGAATGCCGGCCGGCCTGCTCAGTCCATGCATGAGGGAGTCAGTTCTTTCCTGGTGAGTATGACTGAACCAGGGGTCGCCAGGCTGGCTCAGGGAGGTAAAGGTCACACACTCCATGGAACTAAAAGCACATCCCCCAAAGGGTGACAGCATCTCCCTCCTAGGAGCCTGCCTAAGTTCTTGCCTCAGTTCAGAATCATGGGTTCAGTTTTTGGATAAGTGAGATACGGGCATCCAGGTCTGGAAGAAAGTGAGTGCTTGAGTAGTTGGGATCACAAGGCTCACCAGCCCTGTGGGTAGCAGAGGGTGCAGAATGCTGGGGTTCTGGGTGCTCTCAGCAGGTGCTCTAACCCGTGAAGTCCCCTGGAGCAGGAGTGCTTCTTTGTGAGCCTTTGGTATGGGTAGGCAGAGGGGACAGGCTACTGGGGTGGTGGGTGATCTGATTCAGCAACCTTATCCAGGAGATCCTCTGGAGAAGGGGTGCTTCCATGTGAGCCTCAAGGCAAGGGCAGTACTCAGAGTCAGGTGAGGTGGATGGATTCCAGGCTGCCACCTGGAAAGGGTAACCACAGTTCTCCAAGGTGTCAGACAAGCAACAAAGCCTGGCTTCAGGCCCCTTATAGAGATGGTGGGAATTAGGTAACCAAGGCAGAGGGCAGATGGGGCAGGAGCTGGAGGAAGGCTGTACCTAGGTCTGCTGCATTGCACAACTCTGTGGCAGCTCTGCCTGCAGCTTGGTGGTCACCCACAAGCTGAGTGAGCCCCAAGCTCCCTGTACCTCCCTGATACCTTGTCTGCTAATCACAGCTGTTGGGGGAGAGGAATCTCCTTGTCTGGGGAAGTGTACCTCACCCCACACCTCACCGTCCAGGGCCAAGACATCTGATATGATCTTTGCCTTGATCGTGGTCTAAGATGCTGACCTGCCTGAAGGGGTGGCCTGCCCCTCCACACCTGTGGGCGTTTCTCGTTAGGTGGAATGAGAGACTTGAGAAAAGAAATGAGACACAGAGACAAAGAAAAAGTGGGCCCAGGGGACCCGTGCTCAGCTACAGAGGACCCGCGCCAGCACCCGTCTCTGAGTTCCCTCAGTATTTATTGATCTTTATCTTTACCATCTTGGAAAAGGGGAAGTGGCAGGACAAATAGGATCATAGGAGGGAGAAGGTCAGCAGAAAGACATGTGAATTAAGATCTCTGTGACATGAATAAGTTTAAGGAAAAGTGCTGTGCCTTGATATGCACATGCAAACATCTCCATAAACCTTTTTAGTGCATAAAGAGCAGCACTCCCGCTAGCACGTCCCACTTTCAGTCCTAAGGTGGTTTTCTCCTATCTCAGTAAATAGAACATACAGTCGGGTTTTACACTGAGGTGTTCCATTGCCCAGGGACGGACAGGAGACAGATGCCTTTCTCTATCTCCACTGCCCAGAGGCCTTCTTTCCTCTTATACTAATCCTCCTCAGCACAGACCCTTCATGGGTGTTGGACGATCAGGTCTTTCCCTTCCCACAAGGCCATATTTCAGACTATCACATGGGGAGAAACCTTGGACAATGCCTAGCTTTCCTCGGCAGAGGTCCCTGCAACTTTCTGCAGTGTATGTGTCCCTGGGTACTTGAGATTAAGAGAATGGTGATGACTTTTAACCAGCATACTGCCTTCAGGCACTTTTTGAACGAAGCACACCCTGCACAGCCCCAAATCCATTAAACGTCGAGTCACCACAGCACATGTCTCTGGCAAGGACAGGGTTGGGGGTAGGGTTACAGGTTAATAGCATCTCAAATACAGGACAAAATGGAGTCTCTTATGTCTACTTCTTTCTACACAGACACAGTAACAGTCTGATCTCTCTCTCTTTTCACCACACCTACCAGTGCCAAGTAAGGACTTGAGGTGGTTGGTGGGTCTTGAGGCCACACCTACATGATGCACGGCCTGTGCTGCCTTCTGCCTGGGTCCAGCATCCAGAAACCAGAATGGACCCAGCCACTAAAAATATTTTATCCTATAGATTTGTCACAAATTGTAGCTGAACCCCACGAGGTCCTGAGAGCTAGAAGGGCCCAGACATCTCACTTTTTCTTGCCTCTACCTTGATTTCAGAGTCTTTCCAGGGTCAGTCTGAATGCTTCAAAGTGTAGCCCTCCCCATGTAGTGAAGGCTTATAATTGTATGCTGCCCTGGCATCCACATTGAATGCAGGTTTAACTTTCTCAGAACAGAGGCAGAGGACTTAGTCACCCCGATGGTTTCCAGTTCTACATCACACCCATGTGGCTTCAGTCAGTGGCCAGAGATAGGAACTTAGACTCACCTCCCCCAGCCAGCAGACTGGGCTCGCCACTGTCTTGCTGCTCCCTTTAAATGGAACATCCAGGCATTTACTCCAACCTTAATTAAGTGATCCACACCCCATTCCGCAAGATACACTGCCAGTTGCCACCCTTTCTCCTCTTGCTCTCTTTGTCTGTGCTCCGTGACCTCCCAGGACCTGTAAGAACTGAAAACTCTTCCACTTTTACGTGTGACTGTGTCATGGAAGCTGCTCCAAAGTCTGACCCCTGAGGCTGCCCAGAGGGGCCCCATGCATGGGGTTCCTGGCTGGAGCTCTTCTGTCTGGGCCTCTGGTGGCTGCTGAAGACGGCAGCCCCCAACCAAGGTGATCAAGAGTTTCGCCAAAACACCCAGTCATGACTCTTTTTGGCCTTTTCTAGAAATTCTCATTCCTGTCTTGTTCTTGCTGGTGATAGCTGTGTTTCTTTCACTTTCCCCTTCCTAGCCAGGAAAAGCACTCATGGGCCTATCGGACAGCATTGTTTCTGAGGACAGCTGTGTGCCCATGAACCCAGGCTTCCCTACCCTGGTGGCTGTGGAGCAGGCACGCAGTGATGATTCTCAGGGTGTCTGCACCGCTGTGGGCTCATGTCCTGCTTGCTTTGACCTGCTTGGCTTCCCACTCACGGAGCTTTCTGTGCACCAAGACCTCAGCCAGGGACATGAGGTCCAGCTGCCCCCTGTCAACCGCAGCCTCAAGCCTAACCGGAAAGGTAAGTCTTTCCCCATTCTATCTTTTGACAATATCCAGGGACTCTTCATTCGCTTAGGGGTCAGGTGGATCCTGGATGTGGAACGTCTGACTTTGGCAAGTTATGTGAGTTCTCTGAGCCTCAGTTTTCCTCTCTGTAAAATGGAGATAGTAACTCCTACTTCCTGGGTTTGTTTGAAAGGAGAGTGTCTGGGACAGTGGCCCTGGCTCACAGCAGGTGTCCAGTGAAGTGTGGTCTGTGCCCTCCTCATGTAGACCAGGAAGAAGAGCTAGAGTTCAGCTTCCAGGCTGCTATGACCTCACCTTGTGGCCTTGGCCCAGCACGGGGTTCAAGGAAGGAGTGGGATACCTGGGTGGGGATCAGTCTGGCCACAGGGAACCAGACCTGGCTGATGACTGAAGGTTCTTTTCCTGCTCCAGCAAATCCAACACCGTCCAACCTGAGAAACAACAGGGTCATCAGTGAGCCCTCCTTCAAGCCACCTGTCACAGAGCCCTGGTCTGGGACCAGGTGAGTGTCTGTTAGTGGAAACAGGAGCTTGGTTCGGGCTGGTGGAGTGAGTGGGATGGCCATTGGCTTGTGGTCAGGAAACTGGATGCTGATGTTGATCTGGACATAGCTGATCTTGACTCCGTCTCATGAGGCGTGGCTGCCTTCTCATCTGTAAAGGGGGAATAATGATCCCTGGCCCTATCAGTTCTTGATCTGGTAACAGTGTGAGGTCTGGATGCTTCAAGTCAGGGCCCAGCTGGAGGCTGGAGCCCTGACAGAAACCCTGAGCCCCACCCAGGATGTATTCCTTGCCTTCTTCCCATGACAGCGACACCTTTTACTCAGCTCTACAATACCCCATCTCCATGCAGAGCATCACAGCATACTCAGAAGACAGTGGAGAGAGAGATTTTCTTGGTGAGTCCTTGGGGGTCACTGCTTAAGCCTCCTATCAGATTCCCCTGGGACCCACACTCACGTCCCTGGTTCCCAACAGCTACCCAGCTGACTCACTGGCCAGTCAGGTGTGATTTAGTCTGTTGCCAAGCCTTCTTGAGCACAGGCGTATCAGGCAATCATCAGTTAGGAATATGATGGTTTCCTTAAGGAAATCTGGAACTTGAAGAGAGCAGAGGCAGCCTGCCTCGCCCTCATGATATTGATACAGGTGGTGCCCTGCCCTGGAAGAGGCAGAGTTGGAGGTGTCTTCTTGGCCATGGGGGAGACACAAATGTGCATGCCTCACCGTGGTGAGGGCTGTGAGGGAACGTGGAGATGCAGGTGGAGCCACAGGATACCCGTTAGATTGGCACTGAAGAGGCATCATGACCTGGCATGATGGTTGCTGCATAGATACCAGAAGAATAAATATCCACTGTCTAGCAGCCAAAACCCAGAGCCCAAGGGCGGCCACTTTTACCTCCCACAGAGCCACACTTAGGAATGTCCCAGCCGGTGGCAGCCTTCTGAGGAGGAGGCTGGGGGACCACTGTGTGTGTCTCTGAGGAAGCTGCCAAGGAGTAGGCTCCATGCAGCCCAGGGTGGTGGGCTGTAAGGAGTGACCTCGTGCAGCCCGGGAGTGGTGGGCTGCGATCTCTGGGAGCTGGAGGGGAGGCAGCTTCTTTGTAGGATGGACCCCACTCTGTAGGCCATGGGTGGGAAGTTCAGAGGACTGATTGGTGCAGCATCTAGTGTGTGAAGAGGCTACAGTAGTAACACCTGGCTCACAGGACTGCTGAGAGGGTTTGAATGAGCAGAGAGTGCCCCAGTGCATGGCTCAGGTAGGACCAGTAGGCTCGCAGCTGCACCCCACGGGTGTGATCACTGGGCGCTGCGTCTGTCTGTGTCCCTAAACTCATTTGTGAGTTTTCCTCCTTGTGACAGCAGAGCCTGCGGCATCTGCATTTCCTGTTTCGGTGGCACCAGCAGTTCAGCCCTGCCAAGGAGCACTGGTACCATCCACTGTGGCCCTGGACTTCCAGCCGAGCAAGGTGCAGGGTGGAGCTGAGGTTGGGCAAGTCCTTGGATCCTGGGGGAGAGACTGTGGGGCCAGGCCCTTCAGCACCAGCAGCACCAGGCTGCTGTTTGCCACTCCCAGCCTAGTGCCTGGCTCTGCTCAGTGGTGCTCTGATCTGGATCTCGGGACTCCTGTTCTTCCCACCTCTCAGCGTAGTGCCTTCATCAGCCTGCCCTGACTCCCTGTAGAGACAGTCAGATGACTGTGTGGAGACCTGATCTGTGGAGGTTGCAGGGTAAATCAGGAGGACCAGGACTCAACAACCTGGCTCAGGCCAAACTCTTCTATGAGGAGGTTCCAGAGCTTGGCCACTGATGCAGGGAGCCTCAGAAGGGCTTGGGGCCCCAGAGAAGCCTCCCGGCTTCACCTACTGGTAGACAGTAAAGCACTGTCTGCTACTAGACAGTAGTCCAGCCTGTCTAGACATGGCAGGGCAGGAGAGGCTCACCTCTGTACATTGCCCCCTTTGGGGAGATGGGGCTCACCGAGGCACCCCTGGAAGGCCTAGGCTGCTGTGATTTGACCCTTGGGAAATTTCCTGCCCTGGATGAGTGTTTGGGGGGAAGGCCTTGACCAATCTTTGGGCTAGAGAAGGCTGGCTCTGAGGCACAAGGAGATGAGAAGTGCTGGCAAGGCTGTGGCATCCAGCAGCCCAAGGAGAGGTTAGCCTGGAGTTGAGGAGCACAAGCCAGGCTACAGGCTGCTGAGAGCAGGAGACAGAGGTTCCTTTCCCCTGAGACAGTTTGGGAGAGCCCCCTCTCAGCCTGTCCTTCCTCAGCGAGGAACTCACAGACACTCCACTTCCGCTTCCACCCTCTGTCCCTCAGAGTCATCCCTTAGGCTCCTGTATCCCCGTCCAGTGAGAAGGTGGGTATGTCAGGTGGATCTGGAAGACCTGGGCCCTGCAGAAGACCATGCATGAACAGATGTGCCTGCGGCAGTCATCCGACCTCAAGGGTGCCCAAGCTGTGACTTGGGCCACTGAGCCAGAGCCCAGGACCAGGACAGTGCTTCAGGCTGCTCCTCCACCTCTACAGCTCTGTGGTATCAGGGACAGCATCCCTTATCCAGAGAGCAGAGGCCTGATCCAGACACATCTCTGCTGCCCTCCAGGCCCACGTCTGCGCTGGCTGGCTGTCCCCACCTTCACCCCTTGCTAGGAAGCGGTTGCCAGCAAGCATCCTCCCAGTCTCTTCCTGCTCCTCAGACCCGGGCTCCCAACAGATTTCACACTCACGCTTGTCACGGTCCTCAGCCTCTTCCTCTAGCCTTTGGGCTGTTCCCTCAATCCTGGAACATGAGAGCTACCCTGCTGACCCCTGGGACCCAGGCCCGCAGGCCACAGTGGACATGGACCTTTTCCAGCCCTGGCATTTTTTTGGTCAGGAGAGGCAAGGCCATGGACGTTGGGATAGTTGAGAGGAAGGTTAAGGTGGTCTTGAGGAAGCAAAGGAATTAGATCCTTAGACCCAGCAAGGCAGCTCTTATGCAGGTCTCCCACTTTCAGACTGAGGCCAGAGTATGGCAGCTGCTCGGAGTGGGAGGCAGAGAGGGGAAGGCAAAGGAAGGGAAAACATTAAAGAGTTTCAAGAATGAACAGAGGCAGAGCCAGACACCAACCTACCTTGGGGCAAGATAGACTTTCCTCCTCTGAAGAATGACTGCCCACAGGGTTTGATGGAAACCTCCACCACCCTGTCAGCACCTGCTGGGTGCCACACTTCACCAGACCGGGGGCCTGGTCAGCTTCTGAGATCTACCCCTCAGCAGAGCCCTCTCCCCTGGCTCAGGTGGCCAGGCCCTGGGCCCAGGCACTGAAGACACAAAGTCTATCAGACCTTTCCCAAATTTGACAAGGTCACATCCCAGTGAGGAAAGGACAAGGACACAGACAGTGGTGATGGCCAAGATGAAACAGAGATGCTGATGGAATGCCCAGAAAGTGGCTCACTCAGGAGTGGAGGCAGAGGAAGGTGGTTTTTAGGACAAAGGGGGTGCCTGAGTTAAGAGGCTTGAGAGGAAGGTAGGTCAGATTTTACAGGAGAGGAGGGCAGGGCCGGTGCAGTGGAGAAAAGAAGGAACGACAGACTGAAGAAGCCAAGTGCTGAGGACCAAGGGACTTTCTGGAGTACAAGGTCCAGCAGCTCAGAACTGCAGAGGCAGACCTTTTTGTGCTCCCACAGTTGGAATGGTGATGGCCAGGTGACACACTGGGCAAGTGTGCAGGGTGCTGGATGACTGGCCCAGCCCTGACTGTGTCCTGTAAGGTCCTCTGCAAGAGATCCCATGCAGCGCAGCTCTTAACTGCTGTTCTATCCCCAGCTGACTACAATAGGGCTGCAAGTATTGATCTCAGTTCCCAGCCAGTCACCTTCCTGTTGATCCCAGGCTGCTGAGAAAGTGCTGCGTGTTCTGAGGGTATTGCATAGTGCCTTAACCTGGTGGAGGCTTCAGAGACGGAGGTGTTGAAGTCGCATCTCCAGAGGGGTTCCTTCTAGCTCATGGTTCCTGCCTGACCACCAAAACCTGAGGAGTGAAGTGGGGTGGAGATGGAAAGAAGGGCAAGAGAAGAAGGTCTGGGAGCCTGTGGAAGCAGAGCTCTAGTCCCAAGCCTGAACTCCCAGTGTCATGTCTAACGCTTGTATCCACCCCTCCACCCACCAGCCCAGAGGAAAAGTCAACTCCAGCTTAATACAGGGTCCTTGGACCTATCATGAGGTTAAAAGTCCACCTCCTGGTGCCTGGCCACTTTGTGAGACTAAAAGGGACACCTCAGCCAAGTACCCAACTCACATGGGGCTTGTCTTTGGGCTCTCCAGAGGTGTATTACCCCACCCCACCACCTGCAAAGTTAGAGCAGTCAGGTGGGAACAATGAAAGCAGAGAGCAAGGACATCTCCCTAGGACCTTGCTTTTCCATCTGTGGAGTGGGTAGTTGGATTTGATATTTTCTGTACCTTCCTGGGCTGAGGCTCTACTGGTCTCAGGGAGCTCCTTGCTCTGTTACTTTCTGGAGGCTCCCATCGAGGGATAAAGCAACACAGAGCTTTGGCCAATTAGCCAGTCCCTTCCTGGCTTGATGAATAACTTCTTTAGTTCAAACCAGTAAAATGAGCCGCATTCCTGCGGCAAGAGCTGTTCATTCTGAGTTGTGGGATCATAGAGCTCAGTTGCAGTCTGCCTTGTGGTCATAAGGCATGCGGTGAGGCTGTCATCTCAGTCCCAGGCCTGGCACATGCCTGGCGTGCTGACCTCCCAGGGAAGATGCCAGGCAGGAAGTGAGCACTGCCGTTCTGGGCTTCCTGGAGCCTTGCTCTAGGAAGTGTGGGGAGGCTGACCTGCAAGCACTAAGGGCATCATTCAGGTCCCACCAGGCCCCTGGGGCCTGGGACAGTGGCAAATCTGCCTGCTGAGAGCCCACTGCAGAGTCAGGCTGGCATATTCAGGTCAGCAGTGTGTGTTCTTGTTTTTGTTGTTGGCTACTTGTATCTTGCCTGTTTAGAATCCATTTTGTACAGAATGTTTGGTTTCTCCTTAAGAGAAAATGGGCGAAGCCCGTCTTAAGTTCTTGACTTGGTACCATTTAAAACTGACATTTCATTTTCAAATCACTGTTGGTGCCTAATCACAGAAGTTAATCCATTTTTTTCTACAACTTTTATTGTATTATTTACCTGTGTGAGCAGACTTGAGGGTGAGCAGGAGTGTGCTCCAGTGGTTGTCGTTTCTGTTAGCCCAGCCTGAGACAGGCCTCGTGCTGGCAGGCTCCTTTGTACTGAGGCACTGGAGCAGGACAACAGTGAAGTGCGCCATAGAGTCTGGCCAGCGTGGGCTACTTGGAGTCTCTCTGGGAGTAGAGCCCGCATACTCACTGAAGTCCCACCTTGGGGTGAACTGAGCACCTGGCTGCCCTGGGTGAGGCAGAGACACACACTGTCAACAAGAAAACCGTTTCAGAATCATTTCTCCAATGACCCAGGAAGGCCACTGTGCCAGTCTATTTCACTTCATCTTAAGTAGAAATAAGTAGTTTTCCTAGCTCAGAAAGAAAATAAATTCTCTTTATCACAGAATCTCTTTTCCTAATCTGTAAACTGGACATTCTGCTAGCATCTGCCAATTCCATGCTTTCTCAGAAGGGTGTCTAATGGTGGGTTCTGAGGGCTTCATCTGTCTCTGTGTCCACTGGGCCTCTGGCACAGGTCCTGAGTCTGATCTCACAGCTCCCCCTCCACCCACTGCACAAGTGGGGCAGCCTTCTGAGGTCCTAATTGCCTTTTACCTTCATGTTCTCCCCAAATGGCACTGCAGGCATAGTGCTTGGGGACCCAGTGGTAAGTGCTGCTCCCAGGCTCTGTACACGCCCCCACTTCTCTCACTTCAACTCCGGGATAGGGTGGGAGTCCAGGAAAGGAGCCAGGTGCAGGCTCTGGAGTGGAAACCTGTGGTGAAGGCTGTTCCTGGGCTCTGTGGCGTGGCTGTCCTGCGTTTCTCTAGCTCAGGATGGGATGGTGCCTGTGTGGTAAGGAGCTGGAGTGTAGGCATGGTGGGTGCACCATGGCCTGTGTGGCACAGCTAGTCCCTCGGCCCTGCCAGTGTGGCTGCTCGTGTGCTCTCTCACAGCTCCTGGATGGGATGGTGCCCGCAGGAGATAGATTCAGTTCCGGAGAAAGCGGGGGCTGCCTCCCAGCCGCCCTGACCCGTGCCAAGTCCAGCTCTGGAGATGTGACAACCCCTCTCAACCTCCCAGCTTCTTGGGTGCGAGGAAAGAGGAATGTGGCATCTGCAGCAGGTGTTTGTGTGCAGTCCAGGATTCTTGGGTCTGAAACATCTCCAGTTATTTTGGGTTTCAGGTGCACCTGGGAGGTGAGTCCCCCTCACAGTATGCCACTGGGATGCCACATCCTGTGCACCTTCCTCCTTCTTCCATTCCATCCTCTAGGTCCTTCCAGCCTCAGAACTAGGCAGATCATGGCACACAGGGCTCTCACTCCATGCTGTATCTCAAGTGAAGGGGATGGGGTATGTCTCCTTACCAAGGAGGGCACGGTCCCTATCAGGCTGCTTATGCAGTGAAATCAAGGTACAGCATACAGGAGCAACAGCTTTCAAGGCTCCAGAGAGGCTGGTTTCATACTATTTGAGAACAAGAGTCTTTCTCTTCATAGAAAAGGGGGCTATAGCAGGAGTCAAGGCACAAGAAGGTCACTGGACTGTCCCGCTCAGCCCTCCAGGTCCTGCTCTGGTTGTCCATGGCTAAAACTCATCCTGCTGGCCAAAGCCTTTCCTGTTCCAGTTGTTAAATATCTTGATGCCACCACTTAACTCTAAAGGGTGGGAGTCACAGGCACAGTTAGGAGCTAGGGAACTAACCTCCCACTGACACTCGGCCATTCACACTCGTACAGAACAGCACACTTACTAAATAACTGCATAATTCATTACTCAATGTCTGTTCCTCTGAAGTAAGGGATTAGGTCTGTTTGGACCACCAATATATTCCCTGAACACTGGCGATGAATGAATGAATGGATGGATGGATTTTTAAAAAAAAGACTCAAAGTGAAGGAAATACTGTAGTGAACCAGTGCTTGGGACTGGATGCATCTCTGCCAGGAGAGATCAAATCCAGGATCCTGGTGGAGTCTGCTCTCCACAGGTGAGGATGCTGCTGTCCTTGAAATGGCTTCCATCCGCCATGTGGAGGTGGACGTGGTCCCAGACTCTGGGAGAGCCCGGCTCCAGCCTTAGGCCCCTCCCGGGCTACTGCTGGTAAAGAGCACACAGACTTTCCTTGCATAAGAGGGAAGGGACATTTGCAGCAGACAGCAGGAGAAGGCCACCTGTGTGGGCAGTTTCCCATGGGGCTGGGCAGCAGCACCCTTGCGGGTGCTTAGCAGTGGTTGGAACAGCTCTCCCGGGACACTCCAGAAGTGCTGGTTCAGTGCTAGTTCACAGCCCTGGCCTGGCACCAGCAAGTGGGCAGCGATGTCACCCAGGATCTTGCGGTTCCGCATTGAAGGGAAGCACAGCAATCTCTGGATGAGGAGTAGTGTGGCCGCTGGCTCAGGCCCCTGTCTGTTCGACACCCTTAGGAACAGCACCCACCTCGCTGGAGCAGCAGCTGTCTGCTGTCAGCGGAACAGGAAGTAGTTGACCAGGTTCAGAGTCAAAGCTGGAGCCCTGGAACCACACAGCGTTTTTTTCACAGAGGAGGGGCGGTGGTGTTCCTGTGGGTCCTGGTCCCAGGCCATTCTCCCCCTTCTTGTTCTGCAACCACATTCAGCCTGTACCCTCAACAGCCCAGGGGATGCCTGGCAATGTGGGTGCTCAAAGTTGACAGTAGATGGATAGTACTTACAGCACAATGAAGGCCCCAGACTAGTGCAGTAGGTGGAATCACTGGAGAGATTTGGAGGCAGCACAGCACAGAATGGGGGCTCGAGGCCTGCCATGGCCCCACAGGCTCCATCATGAACCTGTACTAGCATGGACAAAGGGCTTCATAGCTTCTTCCATGAAGCAGGCTCTTGTAGTCACATGCTGGTGGGTGCTGGGGCAGGAGGAGTGTCACTGT